GACTGTGGAACAAGGGATATCACTGCTGATGTGCAATGGATCTTGGCTGAAAGCTGAGAATATCAGAAAGATGTTTACCTGTATTTTACTGACTAAGCAAAGGCTTTTAACTGTGTGGATCATGACAAGCTACAGACAACATTGTGAAGTATGAGTGTTCCGGAACACTTAATTGTGCTCATAAGGAATCTGTACCTGGACTAAGAGGCAGTTGTTCAAACAGAACATGGGAACACTGAATAGTTTAAAATTAAGGTGTGCGACAGGGTTGTATTGTTTCATCAAACCTATTCAACCTGTATGCTGAACAAATAATCTGAGAAGCTGGGTTCTATGAAGAAAAACGTGGCATCAGGATTGGAGGAAGACTCAGTAACAACCTGCAATATGCAGATAATACAACCATGCTTGCTGAAACTGAAGAGAACTTAAAATATTTACTGACGAAAATCAAAGAGCACAGCTTTCGGTATGGATTGCATCTTAATGTAAAGAAAACAACAATCCTCACCACTGGACTAATAAACAACATTTTTATCAATGGAGAAAATATTGAAGTTGTCAAGGACTTCTTTCTGCTTAGATCAACTATCAACAGTCATGGAAGCAGCAGTCAAGAAATCATACAATGTATTACATTAGGCAAATCTGCTGCACAAGACTTTTTAAAGCGTTGAAGAGCAAAGATGTCAGCTTGAGGACTAAGGTGCACCTGACCCAAGCCATGGTATTTTCAATCACCTCATATGCATGCAAAAGCTGGACAATGAATAAGGAAGATCGTAGAAGAATTGATGCTTTTGAGTTATGTGTTGGAGGAGAATATTGAAAGTGCATGAGCTGCAAAAGAACCAATAGATCTGTGTTGGAAGAAGTTCAGCCAGAGTGCTCCTTGGAGGCCACGATGGCCAAACTTCGTCTCTCATACTTTGGACATATTGTCAGGAGGGACCAGTCGCTGGAGAAGAATATCATGTTTGGTAAGGTGGAGGGTCAGAGAAAAAGAGGAAGACCCCCAGCGAGATGGATTGGCTAAGTGGCAGTATCAATGGGCTCAAGTGTGGTAACAATTGTGAGGTTGGCCCAGGATTAGACAGTGTTTCCTTTTGGTTGTGCATAGGGTCGCTATGAGTCGCTACCGACTTGATGGCACCTAACAACAAGAAGACACCACAGGAGTTCTGGTGTGGTGCTGTGGATTAATGTGCTGGACTGCAAGGTCAGTTTGAACCGCAAGGTTGGTGGTTCAAGCTCACCAGCTGCTCCTCAAAAACCCCATACAGGGTTGCTATGGGTCAGAACCCATATGACATTACTTAACAACATCAAGAAGAGACCATTGGTTGGACTCCTGGTGTGGCACTGTAGGATAAGCACTGTAGCATAAGCAGTGGTCCAAACTCACCAGTAGCTCCTTGGAAATCCAGTACAAGGTCACTATGAGTTGGAACCAACTCGGTGGCAATTAATGACAAGACACCACTGTTTGAAAAAATTAGTCTTGATTTCAGAAATGTTACAGTGTAAGAAAATAAGCATCATAAAGCTGAGAAAACATTAATTTTATATTACACAGTAAGCATGATTATAATTTCTAATGACTAATTTTATAGAATTATTTCAATGAGAGTTTATAATCCAATAAGGCATATGAATCCATTATAATTTATTTTCTATAGGCACAGGCTTCCTTCCAGCCCATTAATTCTGAGAAAAAAGTGGAAAATCAGTATTACAATAAGACTCTCATATTACCACCACACATAACTTATAAGATTTATTTTGCATGTTATTTGTATTCTTTAAAGACATAAAAAATTACAAGTAAAGCTAAAGATCCCCTCTGTCAGCAACCCTAATCCCAATCTGCTGGATATAACCATCATCAATAATTTAGTGTATACTCTTTCAGTTCATTTTAGAATTTTACAGACACATATCAATAATAAAAACATAGCTCTGTTCTTCATAAAATTTCAATTTACAAAGGTGTCATTATACAATATCATTTACATCTTCATTTTTTTCATTTGACATTGAGATCACCATCATTAACATGGTACAAATACATGCTACAAATAAATTGCTTTTAATTGCTGTGTAAAATCCATTCACTTGACTATATTATTCTCATCTATTACCTACTGAAGAATGTTTAGGTTGTTTTCTGCTAAGGCATACACATATGTGCATGCACACAAACACTTGTTTCTTTAGGATGTATATGCAGAAAAAGTAGCATTGCAGGGTCTTTTTATTTTTCTTAAAAAAATGCTTATCTGCCTTGATGTTATAGATAGTATCCTGTGTTTTTTCCTAGTAGCTTCAGAGTTTGGATTTTCACAGTCCAGTATTTAAATCCTTTGGAACTGTTTTTATATAATATAAGGTTGGATGTAGCTTTACTTTCCCCAATATGGAGAGTCAAATAGTTCAACAGCATTCATTTCTCTACTTACTCATGATGACTTGTTTAATATGATGGTCACCGCATATATTCTGAGGATTATTGTACGGAGTCTATTTTATGAAACCTGTCTGGCTATTAATGTACTAATACCAAATCCTTTTTAAAAAAGACTATAACTTTTATAGTTTTATATGTTTCCTCTCTCTACTTTTTCAAAATAGTTTTAGCAAGCCATAGATTTCTAGTTCATGTGGTTTTAGGGTTGTTTGGTAAAGATCTTTAGTAGTCATGAAAGATTTTGTTTGGAACTGCTTTAAGCCGATAGAGTAATTTTATGAGAATTGACATTTTTTTATGCTATTGGTGCTTTCCATTTAGTTACATAGTATTTCTCTGCATTCATTCATGTCTTAATGCCCTCCAACACATTTTTTACAGTATTTTCCCATAAAGATCTTGCACATTTTTCATTGTTGTTGTGTTTACTCCAAGATATTTTAAAAGTTAAATAGAACATGATTTAAATTTAAAGACTTTCTTGCATTCAGTACACTCAATGTTTCACACCTGTATGACTTCTCTTATGTATAGAAAGCGATGCTCTTTGAGAGAATGCTTTCCCACATTCATTACATTCAAAGGGTTTTTCACCAGTATGACTTCTCATATGTATAATAAGTAATGAGCACTGAGAGAAGGCTTTCCCACATTTATTACATTCATAGGGTTTCTCCCCTGTATGGCTTCTTACATGAAGAGTAAGGGATGAGATTCGAGAGAAGGCCTTACCACATTCTTTACATTTATATGGTTTCTCTCCAGTATGAATTTTCTCATGCTCAAGAAGATTTTGTCTCTGACTGAAAGCTTTTCCACATTGATTACAATTATATGGTTTCTCCCCAGTATGAATTTTCTCATGTTCAGTAAGATTTGATTTCTGACTAAAAGTTTTCCCACACACTGTACATGCATAGGGTTTTTCACCAGTATGAATTCTCTGATGTCGAATGAGGTTTGACATCTGAATAAATGCTTTCCCACATTCACTACATTCATAAGGTTTCTCTCCAGTGTGAATTTTCTGATGTGTGATGAGATTTTCTTTCCGACTAAAAGCTTTTCCACATTCATTACATTCATAGGGTTTCTCAGCTGTATGATTTCTCATATGTACAGTAAGGGATGAACTTTGAGAGAATGCTTTTCCACATTCACTACATATATAGGGTTTTTCACCTGTATGACTTCTCATATGTATAATAAATACTGAGCATTGAGAGAAAGCTTTTCCACATTTATTGCATTTATAGGGTTTTTCCCCTGTGTGACTTCTCATGTGCAGAGTAACAGATGACATTCGAGAAAAAGCTCTACCACATTCACTACATGCATAAGGTTTCTCCCCAGTGTGAATTTTCTCATGTTCAATAAGGTTTTGCTTCTGGCTGAAGGATTTCCCACATTCCTTACATTCATAGGGCTTTTCTCCAGTATGAATTCTCTTATGTTCAAGCAGATTTGATTTCTGACTAAAGGCTTTCCAACAATCCTTACATGCATAAGGTTTTTCCCCAGTGTGAATTCTTTGGTGTCTAATAAGGTTTGACATTTGAATGAAAGCCTTTCCACATTCATTACACTGATAAGGCTTTTCCCCAGTATGAATTTTTTGATGTGTAATAAGATTTTCTTTCCTGCTGAAAGCTTTTCCACATTCCTTACACTGATAGGGCTTCTCTCCAGCATGAATTCTCTCATGTCTAATAAGGTCAAATTTATGACTGAATTCTTGTCCACACTGACTACATTTAAAAGGAGTTAGAACATGAGAAACGAAATGGTAAAATGGTTTGTCATACTTATCATATTCATCAGTTTTCTCTCTCACACAGACGTTCTCAAAATCAAGTAAATCTAAATTATGTTCAAAATCCTTATCAAGTAAGTCATAGTCATAGAAGCTTTGTCTCGAAGTACCAATGTCTGGGCTTAGAGGAATTCTTTTTTCCACTTTTTTGCATTCACTGATTTTTTTCTTAATCAGAGTTTTCTTGGATATGGATGCGATTTTCCTCATAACTGTTTCTTGCTGCTTCTTGAGGTACTCATCAGCTCCCCACATTTCTAAAATGGAAGACCAAAAAGAATTACTGGTAAATCTTTCTACTCTATACTATCAGCAACATTTCAGAACTTTTCTAATGTGAGATTGAATGCTTGATGCTGGCCTCATTTTCCCAATGTGAAAGACATCCAAACTGTAAACATCCTTGGTTCCTAAGGTCCTAGAAGGCAAACTCGATAGAAATTATTAGGAGGAGAAAACTGATATTTAAAGGCCAAAGTGTCTTTGATTATTTAAAAGAAATGTCCAGGTATAATACAGAAATCAGCAAAAAAAAGGATAAGATGAAAACGTAAACATATAAATAACTGAACAGGGACTGAATGACAGGATAAAATGAACGCTGGTTAAACGCAGATTGAATGTACATGTTTTGTTTCTCCTCTTTGCTAAAATTCCATTAAAATAGCAGACTATTAGTGTGTTGTACTGTGGTAGCTTGTATGTTGCTGTGATGATGCAAGGTATGCCACCAGCAGTTGAAATACCAGCAGGGTCACCCATGGTGGACAGGTTTCAGCAGAGTTTCCAGACTAAGACAGATTAGGAAAAAGGAGAGGCAGGTCACTTCTGAATGTTTAGCCACTGAAAACCTTATGAATAGCAACAGACATTGTCAGATATAGTGCTAGAAGATGAGTCTCTCCAGTTCAAAGGTGCTCAAAATAGGACTAGAGAAGAGCTACCTCTTACAGTAGAGTTGACCTTAAAGATATGAATGGAGCAGAGTTTTCAGGATATTTATCTGCTAATGCTGCACAATTCAATATGGAAAAAAAAACAGCTGCAAACATCCATTAATTGGATAGCTGTATTGTATGAAGTACGAATGTAAGAATGTTAGAAGTTGTCAAAAATGAAATGGAATGCATAAAAATCGATATCCTATATAATGCAATCCTGATCCAGATAGCAACATCATTATTTAAAGAGATGGAAAAACTAATCACTAATCTTACATGGAAAGGAAAGAGGCCTCAGATAAGCAAACCATTAAGAAAAAAGAGGAACAAAGAAGGGGGACTCCACTTCCTGATCTCAAGACCTACCACACAACCACAGTAATTGAAATAGGCTGGTACTGGTACAATGAAAGGCACATAGATCAATGGAACAGAATTGAGAGCCAAAAGTAAATCCAGCCACCTATGGTCAGTTGATCTTTGACAAAGCGCCCAAACACATTAACTGGAGGAGAGTTAGTCTCTAAAACAAATGGTTCTGGCAAAGCTGGAAATTCATTTGCAGAAAAATGAAATACGACTTATATCTCATACCATACAGAAAACCAAACTCAATGTGGATTAAAGACCTAAATGTGAAACCTAGAACCATAAAGAACATCAATGCAAAAATAAGGACAAACTTAGGGGCTCTGATACATGGCATAAACACACTACCAAACATAACTGAGAACACACAAATAGGAGAAGACACAATAGTTGACTGGGACCCCTAAAACTTACATATATCAAAAGAGATTTCACCAAAAGAATAAAAAGAGAACCCACAGACTAGGAAAAAGTTTTTGACAATGACATATAAGACAAAGGACTACACTCTCTCTCTCACCTAAACAAGGCAAATAATCCAATTAAAAGATTGGTAGAGGACATGAACAGATACTTCACTAAAGAAGACATTCAGGTGGCCAACAAACATATGAAGAAATGCTCAAGATCATTAGCTATAATTGTTGTT